GGTTTGACGCCATAAGCAGCAAGGTTTGTATTCAGTTCTCTCTCTCTCTCTCTCTCTCTCTCTCTCTCTCTTCCCCCCTTTTATTCTGTGCTTCTCTTATTTTGGCATCTGGATTGAAGCATCTATATCTGTCATACTGAGGCTTTTCACTTTCCAGTGTCTGAGTTTGGAAAAGAAAATGCTTGAAAATAAGGCCAAAAGTGTGAATGGGAGATCAGGAGCTGATTGTTGAGAGTAGGGTGCAGAGAGCCCAGAGTGTGAGCCCAAGAGCAAGCAAGCTGCGCACGGGGAAAGTGGAAGAGTGTCCTCAGGCTCCAAGCTCTGCCTCTGCAGAACCCTGGTGCCTTCTTACCTGCTACTCCCCTATCCTCCTCCTACTTTGATACAAACCTCAAATTACCACCTCTTCCCACTCCATAAAGATCACATCTTTCCAGGTGCTTCCAAAGCACATTGATCTGTTGGTATGATTTTCTTGGAACCCTGGGATCCATGCAGGGAGTGGAGAAGGAAGTCAGCCCACAAATCAAGTCAGGCCAGGGGAGGTTGTGGAACTGGGAACGGGAACAGATCCATATCCTTTGGGAATGAGAACTTCAACTCTGCAATTCCAACTCAGGGATGGGGAAGGAAGGAAAAGAAAGGGGCACAAACCTGAGGAACAAAACAATAATAATAAAGTTGGTCCTTTTTGTGTGCCAGATCCCAAGATCACCCAAGAAGACAGAAACTGCTTTGTCCCCATGGACCTCACAGTCCAGAGATCCATCCAAGACTGTGGTAGCTTCAAGTCCACCTTCTGCTTCCATCAGTACATTGCTTGTTAAGACCAAAAAAGCTAGGAGTCCAAAGAAATCACCAAAGGAAGAGAAGCCTAAGGTAAGAACTGCTTTCCTGACCATACCCTATCGCACCTTCATCTGCACAGGAGCTCCTGTTCCTTGAGCTGGGGGAGCAGCCTCACCCCTCATGTCCAGAAACAAGACCAACACACAACACACTGCACTCTCAACACACCTGATTGTCTCATCTGAGCAGGGGACTCTGGCTGCTTTTCTCTAAACCAATGTGCCCCATCCTCCCAAGAGGATGCCAACATTATCCCCAGCTTGGTGGTTTATTTAGCTTAGTCGCTAAGGCTTGGTGGATCTTTATCTAATTAGCAAAATAGAGAGGCCACATTCCAAGCTCTTTCTAGGGTGTGTAATCTCTAATTCATTACTGCCCAGTATCTATCAAAAGCTTACTGAAGATTCCCTGAAGCATGCGCAGGTCTCCAGTCCATTTGCTCATGTAGGTCTAAAATCAACACTAGTAGAGACTTACATGCATGAATTATGTGCTGTTGCCCCTCTTACTCACCTCCCCCCCAAATAATCAGAATTGTTTTGACTGGACCTAGGGTGTTACCATTGGTCTACATAAAAGGACATGTTAAAAAGTTACTCTGTGACGTCAGCTGTTGGCCTACCATGTGGATGTCACTGGGGCATTGCTCACTATGTTACACATAATGACCTCTCTTCATAATGATCTTGTGGAGAACTTTCTCATGCTCTTCACTATGGGAGTAGTTGCATTTCTCTGAGCAGTTGATCTGTGGGCACTGCATTGCATCAAGGCTCCTTTTCAAAGTTGACTTTTAGAAAGCTTAGAGCCCAGTTGGTGACATAGGAGGCTGGTATATAGCACTTCACAGAAAGACTCTCTCCATTTGCATGTTTCGATCTCCCACACTCTTTCGTCCTGTTTCTACATGTTCCCATGTTCTTCTCCTCCCACAGGGGCAGAATCTGCTTCTTTACCACTTAGGACGAGGAGGGCTAGAGCAGAACACTGCATCCTGAGTACATCCTTGCTCCACAAAGCGGGGAGGGAAGGTGCAGGCCTCTGGTTCCAATCACAGGCAGATGATCACTCCTCGTGTCCAGCAGAGGAGTGAGGGAATGAGTAGAGAGAGGCCAGCAGTGGAAGTCCCTCCACTTGAGTCGCTCCACTCAGAAGGAGACATCAGGAGATGAGAAAAAGCACTCTCCTGGAAGAGCACTTTCACTTTGCTGAAAGTTAGCAAGTGTAGACAACTGGAAATCAGTGCAATTTCCCAAAAGAATGGCAGGGGAGGGGTGGGGGGGATTTTGTGCATGACTAACCAATGGCTGGGTTCTAGAAGTTATATTTTTATAATCCAGATCTTAGGAAGTATTGTTTTGGTCCTCCAGTGTTAGAAGAGGGGTCCCAGCCTGAGTGTGTAATGCTGCCTGCTGACCTGGGTGGGAGACCAGCCACACTGGGTGAGGGGCTCTAGTCCAAGCCTTGAACTAAGAGAGCCTGTGGCGAAGGCAGCCACCATGAAATCGGTCATGTGTCAGGGGTCTGTGGTCCAAGGCTCTGAAATGATGGCTGGGGGGACTTCAGAGCCGGGTCAGCGACTGGGGCCGAGCAGCTGAGCCTCAATCCCAAGGTCACAGCAGCAGGGGACAGCTGCAACAGAAGGTGCCCAAGTCCCCACAGCAAGCCCAAGGCCAGAACTAAATCCTAGAATTCCAGCTCAAAAACTCCAGTGTCCTCAATTTACAGATTGGGGCTGAGTTTCCAAAGTCCCAACCACAAGGGGCAGAGATATCTCCTATTGTCCCCCACCGAAAATGCACAGTAAAGGACAGACAAAGGCCGGCTTAGGATCTCTGAGAAGGTGTAATTTTAATAGGCTTTTCGCGTAGTCTCACAGCCTTTCCTTCTCAGTGTAATGATTGTTATCTGGATGTTTCCGAAGCTTAACAGTACATTTTGTCACCTGGGGAGACTCTGAAGTTAATGTGTAACAATAAGTAAAAATTGGACGGGGGGGGGGGGGGGGGGGGGG